GGACCCCCCCTCTCTGTCCAGGGTGGACCCCGCCTCTCTGTCCAGGTTGGACCCCCCCTCTCTGTCCAGGGTGGACCCCCCCTCTCTGTCCAGGTTGGACCCCCCCTCTCTGTCCAGGGTGGACCCTGCCTCTCTGTCCAGGGTGGACCCCCCCTCTCTGTCCAGGTTGGACCCCCCCTCTCTGTCCAGGGTGGACCCCCCCTCTCTGTCCAGGTTGGACCCCCCCTCTCTGTCCAGGGTGGACCCTGCCTCTCTGTCCAGGGTGGACCCCCCCTCTCTGTCCAGGGTGGACCCCGCCTCTCTGTCCAGGTTGGACCCCCCCTCTCTGTCCAGGGTGGACCCTGCCTCTCTGTCCAGGGTGGACCCTGCCTCTCTGTCCAGGGTGGACCCCCCCTCTCTGTCCAGGGTGGACCCTGCCTCTCTGTCCAGGGTGGACCCCCCCTCTCTGTCCAGGTTGGACCCCCCCTCTCTGTCCAGGGTGGACCCCCCCTCTCTGTCCAGGGTGGACCCCGCCTCTCTGTCCAGGGTGGACCCCGCCTCTCTGTCCAGGTTGGACCCCCCCCTCTCTGTCCAGGTTGGACCCCCCCTCTCTGTCCAGGGTGGACCCCCCCTCTCTGTCCAGGTTGGACCCCCCCTCTCTGTCCAGGGTGGACCCTGCCTCTCTGTCCAGGGTGGACCCCCCCTCTCTGTCCAGGGTGGACCCTGCCTCTCTGTCCAGGGTGGACCCCGCCTCTCTGTCCAGGTTGGACCCCCCCTCTCTGTCCAGGGTGGACCCTGCCTCTCTGTCCAGGGTGGACCCTGCCTCTCTGTCCAGGGTGGACCCCCCCCTCTCTGTCCAGGGTGGACCCTGCCTCTCTGTCCAGGGTGGACCCCCCCTCTCTGTCCAGGTTGGACCCCCCCTCTCTGTCCAGGGTGGACCCCCCCTCTCTGTCCAGGGTGGACCCTGCCTCTCTGTCCAGGGTGGACCCCCCCTATCGCCCATTGACTGCTGGAGATAGGCACCAGCAGCCCTGTGACCCCAATTGGGACAAGCGTGTCAGATAATAGATATTTGTAACCATGGTGACAGCAGAAAATATCACACTTTAATTTGAATAAGTGTCTAGATTAGATACTTAAAATTCTGTAACGATGTATAATATAAAATATATAAAATAAATCAGATTTATATTTGTTTAGATTTAGATTGAAAAGGGGCAGAAATGATCAGATTTAATCAGCACATTAATGGCAGCTTCAGCTGCCTGGACCTGAAAACTTACCAGGGTTTTTTTTTTCAGCTTTTTTTTTTTTTTTAAACAAACCAGTTTTCAATTATCTCATTTTCACTACCTTTTTAAAACTGTGCAGAGAAAACGGTCCGATCACGGTAACCGAGTGCAAATGGAACCCAAACTGAACCGGACCGTACCAGAAACAGCCGAACCGCGCTTAATCTAGTCCTAGTTCATCAGTAGGACTCGGCATGGTTCCTCAGTGGATCGGTTCTCTCATAACGGAGAGCGCCTGAGCGGACCGCCTCATCTCTGATTTACAGTCAGTTGACTTACTTTGCAGGTTTTCCGGCGTGTCCAGCTTTGGCATTCCCAGATCCCTTCACTTTTTCACAATATGAACTTCTTCTCAGTTTATTAACAATAAATGGCATCAACCGATACCAATGATGCCTTCTCCGCCTGACATTCTGCAAACAACAAAATATCACTGATATAAACAAACATAACTTCCTGGATGCTAAGGGCGCCACCATTTTTGTTTGCACAATTGCCTTGAGAGCTGTAGTGTCATGGGCCGCTGATAGGAGGCCAGGAACTGTGCTAGCGTGATGCGCTGGTGAAGATTCTCTGTCATTCAGGTCAGTGTCATTCCATAAAGTTGAAATCAAGCCACTGGACTTTGTTTTCAAGATTGAAGACATTTCGCTTCCCATCCAGGAAGCTTTTTCAATTCAAAATGTCAGAAATAACGTTGAGTATAAAACCTCGAACTTGACGCTATTCCTGTCATTTTGAATTGAAAAAGCTCTTAACGTTTCTCTATCTGTAGAACGGGTCAGTTTTATGTTTTGTCTTCTCCATTCAGAGGGGCCCCTGCATGTCATTGCACAGGGCCCAAAATTTCCTAAATCCTCCCCTGATCACAGCTGTTTACATTGTTACATCACTTTCATTTCCTCCCACTTTCACACGTCGATGTGTTTGTCTTCCGATTCACCCTGAGGACCAGAGGAATTCGGTTGTGATAAACGGTTCAGATATTGTCTGTTTATTTAGCCTTTAAGTATTAATAACTTTTTTATTTGTGTCCCTGTGTCTTTAAAGTGCAAACATATATCACTCTGTGTGTCAGTCGCTATCTTCAAGTGAAAGTTTATTTTTGTTATTCATGTTTTCACAGCCGCCAGGTCAAAAGATGCATCTTAGAAGTGGAAACCGACACTTTACAGCGACGTACAACACAAAATACACGCAGTATAGTCATGAATAATAATGATCAAAGCTTCAGACTAACTAACAGCTTCCTGGAGGGAAAGCGTCTTTTTTAAAGTGTCCAAAGAGTCCAGACAGACCGACAGACAGACAGACAGACAGACAGACAGACCGACAGACAGACAGACAGACAGACAGACAGACAGACAGACAGACGTCCATGTGAAGCTCTCAGGCTTGTTTTTAATCACCATTTATTATTACTGTATCATTACATGTTTACCACACATATGTTGTTCTCATTATATATCTAAAGTTTTCTGGGATCCCGCCTAAGTAGCAAAGCGTTTTAGCTTCGACGAGTTTATTGATAGAAAAGGTAATGAGGGGCCCCCACCCAGCAGTCTGTCTCTCTGCCTGTCGAGGCAAAGCATTAAAGTGAAACAGGAAAAACAAGCTAGAAGGATTAATGGTTGACAGACGCTGAACAGGAGAATTTCCTGAGGATTGGAGAAGGATCAGAGATCAGAGTCTGATGGGTAAATATTTACATCCTGGAAGATAATCTGCACTGAATCCACATCATCACCAGGTCAGATCTTAAAGTCGTAGGGAAGCGGTGAATAAAGTGAATGTGATTGGTCGATTATCAAGGGGGCGGGATTGTTGTGGTGGAAGGTTCGCAAGCAAGTTAGGTTGTGGCCGGTTTGTGGGAAGCATCTTGCTAACCAGTTAGCATCTTAGTGCTAGCAGGTTCCCAATGGGAAATTCCATTGGGACCAAGTAGCACTAAATTGGTGACTTAGAAACGACGCTGTCAAGGAACGCTATGGACAGCGGAAACATGCAAGAGGAGGAGAGTTTAGTGTCGGAGGTCGTGGATGAGTCTCCTCCGTCATCCATTTTTTATTTAGAGGAGGAAAGCGGGGAAGAAGATGTTGTGGAAGAGGACGCCAGGGCGGCAGAAGCTTGGTTTGGTGTAGAAGGCTTCCAGCCGTACATGTTTGAGCCCTTGCCTCGCAACGCTGCCAGTTCTGTTAGCTCTACGCCTGCCGAAGACACAGACGTCCATCCCCGTGAACACTGGGACGCAACTCAATGGGAAAGGAAAGGATTCTGGTTTCAACCGTTGCGTATATTAGCTGCGACATATGAATCTAGATGTTATGACCGAAAACATTTGATTGACAGATGACCGTTGATATATGATTGGCCGAATTTAGGTGTTCAGGCTGACGTAGAACTAAGTGGCCTGCAGAAGATAACGGAAAAAAACAACACAGATTTTAAGATAGAATTTTATCTTTTTTATAGAAAATGTCAAACTTTTGGGACAATCTGGTCTGATAAAGAGAACATTTATATACATGTTTAATCCAGAATGATTTGACATTTAAGTATGATATGACTTTAAGGTCTGGTTATCCTCCCGCAGCAGTGTGTCGCAGTTAGCTTGTCGCAAGGATGACGCAGATATTTTTAATTTATGCTAAATATTGAAGGGCGGTCTGCGCTATTTTATTCCACGCCACAACACCAGAGGGCCAATCAGGAACTAGCTAGGATTGTGGGCGTCCGTGTGTCGGTTCAACAAAGACTGGCCGTGGCGCTGCGTGTTTTGGCTTCGGGTGTAAACCAAGAGACCGTTGCAGTCTGTCTCCGTCCTGCACGGTGTCTGGGATAGAGTCCGAGGTGAGCCAGGCGCTGTGGACGGCCCTACAGCCAGAGTTTCAGCCATTAGGAACCAAACAGGAAATACGCAGTTAGAGCGGATGTAGATTTGACCAATCAGAGGCCTCCTGTCTGCGAGAGATGCACTAGAGTGTCTGCGGAAGGGGGGGCATATCTGCGTTAAGTGTGACACGCACGCAAACCACTTGGTTTCTGAGCATAAACCAGGCTTTATGCTACGTTCAGACCGGATGAGCTTTTACCATCAAAGAAGCTTCTGCTGCTTCATCTCTGATCCTCATTAAGCTTCAGCCGTCCAGTAAAGTGTCTCCAGATGCTTCTGCTGCTCCTGAGTTCGATGCCAGAGAGCAGCTTTGCTATATTAGCTGTGATCAGCGGGTAGAAAGTAGTTAGAATCTATGTTGAAGTGAGAAAGTCCTCCTGAAAACATGGTCTGTGCAGTCAGTTCATCCAGATTACCATCCTGCCTTCAAAGATTATTTCTCTGTGGGAGCCGCTCAGACCCCCACATACCGGCGCTGCGCTGTCACTGGGAATCCCCAGCAGCAGCTGCCTCAGGCCCGCTCGCCTCTCCAGGGTTTTCCCCTCCTGTTGGTGGCGGCTGGAAGTAGATGTTAGCGTTTTTCAGGTCTGTGCTACAAACTGCAGACAGCAGGATAATAAAAGCCAACATATTCTGCCGGCAGGTTTCTACATTTGAAGTTAATTTAGGCGTTAATAAACTGTTTCTGAGGAGTGATCATAGCGCTCTGCATCAGCAGTTTCTCACTTAAAACAGGTTAGAACTATTTTTCCAATTAATGAAGTAAATAAAGCCGAGCTGGTCTTTAGCTTGAAGCTACAGAATGGAGCAGATTAAAAAACAAGAGCGCTGAGCAGCAAAGCAACTGGACCACAGTTTGATCCAGAGTCCAGATTTCTGCGTTTAAGCGTTTCTGACACCCAGAACGCCTTCGGTGTGAACGCAGCATAAGGATTTCTGATCAACATTATGCCTCCAGGTGGCTTCAGTCATTTCATTAAACCCTGAGGTGCTCTCTTCTTCTCTCCCCTTGCACAGCTCCCTGATCTTCATCCTGAAGTTATTTCCAACGATGATGTAGAGAACAGGGTTGATGATGCTGTTGAAAAGGCCCAAGTATAAGAAGATATCCAGGCAAACCCTGATGACAGTGAGGCTCCTGCACCCTGTCAGAACTCTGACCCCATGTAACCACCTCATTATCTCCGTCAGCTGGTAGGGACCCCAGCAGACCAGGAAGGCCAGGAGGCAGGCCAGGACCAAGGTGGTGGCTTTATGGTCTGTTTGCTGGAGGCTGTTGGATAACCTGCGTCTGAGAGTCTTTAAAATCATGACGGTGCAAAAGGAGATGATGATGATGGGGATGATGAAGGTTAACACCACAGACATTAAGCGAACTCTCAGCATGGTATCAACTGGGAAACTAAATGAACAAGTGGTAATGTTATTTTTTACTGTTTTGGTTTCACTGTAGATGAAGTAGGAAATGTTTTGGAAGAAGCCCAGAGACCAAACCAAAGCACAGCCCAGTTTAGCATACAGGGGCTCTCGGATATTCATACAGGACAGTGGGTGCACCACAGCAAGATAACGATCGATGCTAACCATGACCAGCAGGTAAACACTGCAGGTATAGTTTATCCTATAAGTCTGACGGTACACTTTACACATGAAAGAGCCGAAATCCCAGTCATAGTCACGGAAAATAAGAACAGCCCAGAGGAGAATGCAGAACATCAGAACCAGGTCGGCTGCAGCCAGGTTGCTCAGGTAGATCTCTGGGACACTGCAGGGCTTCTTGTGGAGGCAGAGAACGATCAGCACAAATGAGTTTAAGATAATTCCCAGGATAGAAATCATGACGTAGACTTCCCCCCGAGAGAAGTCATCTTCATAGCTGCATGAAGACGTTTGGTTTGGGTCTCTGTGCATGAAGGTGCTGTTGGCAGGGAGGCTGCAGGGACGAGGAAGATGGAACAGAAATCACATATTAATGAAAGAAGGAGAAGTTCTGTTTTCTAATGAGCAGGTTCAGATGAACAAAAATCATTTTCTAACTTATGAATAAATCTTGTTTTCTTTTGTCTGAATTAAATCTTGATTAATGAGACGGTTTGGTTTAAATTCTCACCTATTTTTCAAACCCAAATGGATGAGCAAATAACTGAGGAACTGTAAGCCCAAATTAAATAAAACTGGGTGAGTAGAACGTAGACCAAGCTGCATCAACTCAAACAAGACTGAAAACGCTCATAAATAACAGCTCTTTTTTGAACAGCAGTAATAAAGACATGCTTGAGAAAAGGCATTTCTCATTGTATTACATTTATTCACATCATGTGAATAAATAAGTGTCATTTGGAGCCGTTCTGAAGATATTCCGTTAGGTTATATCCAGTAACGTCTTCCTAACGGAATATCTTCAGAACGGCTCCAAATGACACTAAACTCATCTGGGAGAGTAGAACATGATGGAATAACGGAAAATCAAGGACCAATGGAAAAACTCCCCTTGAAATGTTGTAATAAAACAAAAGCTGCATCCAAACTTTAAAAAAAATAGGAGTGATGTTATTATTCAGCTCGGAGCTGCAGCAGATTGTTTCACTTTAACGCAAGCCTGTAACACCGTCCCCTTTAAATAACCTCGGAATATGTAGGCTGGAGTGGAGTGGGGTGGAGTCGGGTGGAGTGGAGTCGGGTGGAGTGGAGTCGGGTGGAGTGGAGTCGGGTGGAGTGGAGTGGAGTGGAGTCGGGTGGAGTGGAGTGGAGTCGGGTGGGGTGGAGTGGAGTGGAGTCGGGTGGAGTGGAGTGGAGTGGAGTCGGGTGGAGTGGAGTGGAGTGGAGTCGGGTGGAGTGGAGTGGAGTGGAGTCGGGTGGAGTGGAGTGGAGTCGGGTGGAGTGGAGTCGGGTGGAGTGGAGTGGAGTCGGGTGGAGTGGAGTGGAGTCGGGTGGAGTGGAGTGGGGTGGAGTGGAGTGGAGTCGGGTGGAGTGGAGTCGGGTGGAGTGTAGTGGAGTCGGGTGGAGTGGAGTGGAGTCGGGTGGAGTGGAGTGGGGTGGAGTGGAGTCGGGTGGAGTGGAGTGGAGTCGGGTGGAGTGGAGTGGAGTCGGGTGGAGTGGAGTGGAGTCGGGTGGAGTGGAGTCGGGTGGAGTGGAGTCGGGTGGAGTGGAGTGGAGTCGGGTGGAGTGGAGTCGGGTGGAGTGGAGTCGGGTGGAGTGGAGTCGGGTGGAGTGGAGTCGGGTGGAGTGGAGTGGGGTGGAGTGGAGTGGAGTGGAGTCGGGTGGAGTGGAGTGGAGTCGGGTGGGGTGGAGTGGAGTGGAGTCGGGTGGAGTGGAGTGGAGTCGGGTGGAGTGGAGTCGGGTGGAGTGGAGTGGAGTCGGGTGGAGTGGAGTGGGGTGGAGTCGGGTGGAGTGGAGTCGAGTGGAGTGGAGTGGAGTCGGGTGGAGTGGAGTGGAGTCGGGTGGAGTGGAGTGGAGTCGGATGGAGTGGAGTGGAGTCGGGTGGAGTGGAGTGGAGTCGGGTGGAGTGGAGTGGGGTGGAGTGGAGTCGGGTGGAGTGGAGTGGAGTCGAGTGGAGTGGAGTGGAGTCGGGTGGAGTGGAGTGGAGTCGGGTGGAGTGGAGTGGAGTCGGGTGGAGTGGAGTGGAGTGGGGTGGAGTGGAGTCGGGTGGAGTGGAGTGGAGTCGGGTGGAGTGGAGTCGGGTGGAGTGGAGTGGAGTCGGGTGGAGTGGAGTGGAGTGGAGTCGGGTGGAGTCGGGTGGAGTGGAGTGGAGTGGAGTCGGGTGGAGTGGAGTGGAGTCGGGTGGAGTGGAGTGGAGTGGAGTCGGGTGGAGTGGAGTGGAGTGGAGTGGAGTCGGGTGGAGTGGAGTGGAGTCGGGTGGAGTGGAGTGGAGTCGGGTGGAGTGGAGTCGGGTGGAGTGGAGTGGAGTCGGGTGGAGTGGAGTCGGGTGGAGTGGAGTGGAGTCGGGTGGAGTGGAGTGGTGGAGTGGAGTGGAGTCGGGTGGAGTGGAGTGGAGTCGGGTGGAGTGGAGTGGAGTGGAGTGGAGTCGGGTGGAGTGGAGTGGAGTCGGGTGGGGTGGAGTGGAGTCGGGTGGAGTGGAGTGGAGTCGGGTGGAGTGGAGTGGGGTGGAGTGGAGTCGGGTGGAGTGGAGTGGAGTGGAGTGGAGTGGAGTGGAGTCGGGTGGAGTGGAGTGGAGTCGGGTGGAGTGGAGTCGGGTGGAGTGGAGTGGAGTGGGGTGGAGTGGAGTCGGGTGGAGTGGAGTGGAGTCGGGTGGAGTGGAGTCGGGTGGAGTGGAGTGGAGTCGGGTGGAGTGGAGTGGAGTGGAGTCGGGTGGAGTCGGGTGGAGTGGAGTGGAGTGGAGTCGGGTGGAGTGGAGTGGAGTGGAGTCGGGTGGAGTGGAGTGGAGTCGGGTGGAGTGGAGTGGAGTGGAGTCGGGTGGAGTGGAGTGGAGTCGGGTGGAGTGGAGTGGAGTCGGGTGGAGTGGAGTGGAGTCGGGTGGAGTGGAGTCGGGTGGAGTGGAGTGGAGTCGGGTGGAGTGGAGTCGGGTGGAGTGGAGTGGAGTCGGGTGGAGTGGAGTGGAGTGGAGTGGAGTCGGGTGGAGTGGAGTGGAGTCGGGTGGAGTGGAGTGGAGTGGAGTCGGGTGGAGTGGAGTCGGGTGGAGTGGAGTCGGGTGGAGTGGAGTCGGGTGGAGTGGAGTGGAGTGGAGTCGGGTGGAGTGGAGTGGAGTCGGGTGGAGTGGAGTCGGGTGGAGTGGAGTGGAGTCGGGTGGAGTGGAGTGGAGTCGGGTGGAGTGGAGTTGGGTGGAGTGGAGTGGAGTGGAGTCGGGTGGAGTGGAGTGGAGTCGGGTGGAGTGGAGTGGAGTGGAGTCGGGTGGAGTGGAGTGGAGTCGGGTGGAGTGGAGTGGAGTGGAGTGGAGTCGGGTGGAGTGGAGTGGAGTCGGGTGGAGTGGAGTCGGGTGGAGTGGAGTGGAGTGGAGTCGGGTGGAGTGGAGTCGGGTGGAGTGGAGTCGGGTGGAGTGGAGTGGAGTCGGGTGGAGTGGAGTGGAGTCGGGTGGAGTGGAGTCGGGTGGAGTGGAGTGGAGTGGAGTCGGGTGGAGTGGAGTGGAGTCGGGTGGAGTGGAGTGGAGTGGAGTCGGGTGGAGTGGAGTGGAGTCGGGTGGAGTGGAGTGGAGTGGAGTCGGGTGGAGTGGAGTGGAGTCGGGTGGAGTGGAGTGGAGTGGAGTGGAGTGGAGTCGGGTGGAGTGGAGTGGAGTCGGGTGGAGTGGAGTGGAGTGGAGTCGGGTGGAGTGGAGTCGGGTGGAGTGGAGTGGAGTGGAGTCGGGTGGAGTGGAGTGGAGTGGAGTGGAGTGGAGTGGAGTGGAGTGGAGTGGAGTGGAGTGGAGTCGGGTGGAGTGGAGTCGGGTGGAGTGGAGTGGAGTGGAGTCGGGTGGAGTGGAGTGGAGTCGGGTGGAGTGGAGTGGAGTGGAGTCGGGTGGAGTGGAGTGGAGTCGGGTGGAGTGGAGTGGAGTGGAGTCGGGTGGAGTGGAGTCGGGTGGAGTGGAGTGGAGTGGAGTGGAGTGGAGTCGGGTGGAGTGGAGTGGAGTCGGGTGGAGTGGAGTGGAGTGGAGTCGGGTGGAGTGGAGCTGCTGTAGGTCCATTCCACTCTCTTTTAGACGTGGCTTCGTTGAAGTTAAGCACAATAAACCCGCCCACCTAGACACAGTACCTGGCAAGGCGCTCTGAGTGTGCCAGCCCCCGCCCCCCCACCTCCATCAGGTTCACCCCCTCCCCCAATGGTCCAGGCCGTCAACCTTTCCCTTCCCGCCTGAAAACCTCCACAGCTGAAGGATCAGCTCCATGCAGACCTCAGCCCCACCAGCTCACGTACGCAGCAAACAGATTTATGGACGTTTTACCGTGCAGCATGGCGGCACGCTCTGCAGTTTGCTCTTCAAAATCAGTTAGAAAAAGCAGAAAGTAGAAAATTATTCAGTCATCAGAAAGTAATCTAATCTCTCTGTTGTTATTAAAATACTGTTGATTGTGTTTTATCTTTAGTTGTCTTAAATAAAATGAATAAACAGAATAAATAATATTAGTTATAATGTTTAGAGGGAAATAAAGTCTCGTTTTTATAAGCGTATGTGGAACGGTGCATTTAAAACACATTCAGGCTGCAGCTCAGAGATAAAGCCGGGAAACATACCTCGTACTTAAAGCCGCCATTCGTCCAGATAAAAGGAAAAGGGTTCAAATAATCAGCTTCCTTTTCTTCTTTCCTTTGTTAGACATTAAAAATTTTATTCATTGAGAAAAATCTGAATAAAAGTCAGCAGCTGAAAAACACCTTCCTTCCTCACCCTAACCCTCTGTCATCAAATACGCTTTCCCGTTTATTCATCAAACTGCTGAGAAGTCAACCACTAATGGACCACTGGAGTGGTTGGGGGGGGTAATTATTTTCCAATTATTGCTGCTTCCTAAGTAGGATTCAGAACCTACTTAGTGAAACTGGGGGCTATATGACATCATGGAAAATGAAAACAATGGAGAATTTTCACCTACTTCTACATGTTGAAAGAATCATTCATGGCCTTTGATGTTCAGGTTTCATTAGTCTGCATCCATGATATGGAACATTTCATTGATCCTGGGAACACTCGCCCAGCCGGGTTCAGTGACCTACACCCTGCAGTCTTCTGGTCGTTGGCGAGCGCCGGGGGTCCAGAGCCAGAAACCACATATAAACCGTGATCGTGGTTTTGGACGTTGGGAACCAGAGTCCATGTTTCATCCTGACATGATGAGCGGAGAAGAGGATACAGTTTGGCTTATAAACAGCTGTAAGACCTCTGCAAATCCACCCCCCCTCAGCCAGCTGCCTCCACAGGAACTCCCACAGAGGTGTGACTCCCCCCCCCCCCCCCCTATGTTGAGAACAGTAAAGACCACAGGATTTCATCCTGTCTTTCCCGTGAAGCTGCCTGAGGATCCACATCGGAAGAGCCAACCGCCGAGAAAAGACCAGATCTCCAGAATGACCAACGATAATTGATCATGGTTCATTTTTCAGAACCAAACTGCTGCAAAACAGACCCTTTGCAACACCTTTCTCCTAATTTTCAGAACTTACAGAGCCAGACTGGAGGAGAACGTCTCCTGAAGATTCCTTGGTTTGAGCCACATGGGGGAAGAAAACCGTTGTTTGCTGCTGAGCTGCTGCTGGATGAAACTCAACCTTCAAAATGGACAAAAGGTTTGCAGGTCTGGCTCAATTAGGGTCAGAACAGACAATATGTCTCTTGATGATTATGATCATTTCATGTGTTTACTGATGAGTAAAGACAAAGCTAACAGGATGATCTAATCATTCAATAAAACAATAATAATGTTTTATTCACCTCTTTGATTTGCATCATGAATTGGTCTGAAAACATTCCAATTTCTTTAAAATGAGTGAAAAGCTAATTTGATCAGATCCCAAATTCTTCCAGATAAACTTTGGTTTCAAACACAGAATCCATCTTAATGTAATGAGTTCAAAACCTTGGACCCAATATTCAAAAACAGACAGATCTGGATAGTTCAAAACTAGACTTTATTTAACTCTCAGCATGGCTGCTCGTCAGCTGGGGCGGAAAAACCGGATCCTGTTTCTGAGTGGAGCTGAAGCCAGCCGAGGCCGAGGGGCAACAGAGTCCTGAAGGGAATGTCCAAAGCCGAAGTCGAACCAGAACCAAGTTCACAGACCAGAGGATCAGAAAGCCGATGAGGTACAGAAGGGGAATCCAAGCCAATGTCAGAAAAACAGTTTGGTGAGCCAGGTGAATCCAGGAATCAGTCCAGAACAGAGCAGATAGAAGAGCAGACTAGGGCAAAGCAAAACTCAGGATCCACAGGACAGAAACAGGTCACATTTAGGCCCCGTCCACACGAAGACGAACCCTGGCCTAAACGCACAAATTTTTCACCAAACCAGCCTCTCATCCACACGAAGCCGGCGTTTCGGGGTCTGTAAACGATCTTTTTTTTATTCAGCCTTCAGAGTGGGAAGATTCTGAAACGCCGTTTTCGCGTTTCCATCTTTACACCCTAACCGCATTTTTTTTTTTTACACGCATGCGTCATAGCGTCGCCTCTAAACACGCAAGCGCGACGATAGTATCACAACAACAATGGCGCCTTACTGTGTTGAATGGTTGCTGCTAATGCTACTCACCCTGCTGTCGGGCTTACAACAGAATCTTCTTCTTCTGGAATATCTCCAGGAAGAACAGAGCAATATCGACCACATAGTTCAGGACCTGAATTTGACTGAACCACGGAAATGGACCCGCAGGGCAACCAGGCGAAGGTTTTGGGTGAGGCCTGGCAGAACCAGTAGCTGGTGGGACAACTTTGTTAATGGTGTTGTTCTGGACGATGAATGGAAGGCAAACTTTCGCATGTCACGACAATCTGTTGCCACGCTCACCGATGAAATACGCCCATACATTGAATGCCAAGAAACGAACATGAGAGCACCTATGGAGCCGCTGAAAAAAGTAGCAATGACCCTTTATTATTTAAGTGACGAGGGCAGGCTCCGAAAGACTGCTAACGCCTTTGGTGTATCGCGGCAGGCTGTTTCCGTCACAGTCAGGCAGACCTGCAGGGCCATCTCCATTCACCTTGGTCCCCGGTACATCAGATTACCCTTTTCAGAGGATGCCGCCACGGAACTGGTCGACGGTTTTCAGCGTGCTCATGGAATGCCCCAATGCCTGGGAGCAGTTGATGGCACACATATTGAAATAAAACAGCCATCGGTCAACTCCACGGACTATATAAATAGAAAAGGTAAACACACCCTAAATGTCCAGGCGGTGTGCGATTATAAGTACCGATTTATGGACGTTGTTATAAAGTGGCCTGGAAGTGTGCATGACGCACGCGTGTTTGCTAACTCGGAGGTAAACCAGTTCATGAAAACCGGAAAGATTCCTACTCTCAAACGGCAGATTGTGGATGATGAAGATCCCATACCAATCTTCCTCCTTGGAGATCCAGCATATCCGCTTCTGCCTTATCTGATGAAGGAGTTTTCCAATGGTGGATCATCGCCACAAGAGCAGTACTTTGGGCTCTGTTTATGTAGGGCACGTATGGTTATTGAGTGTGCTTTTGGCCGCCTGAAAGCTAGGTTCGCTGCACTCAGAAGGCCGATGGACATAAATATGACTGACCTGCCTTACATCATATATTCTTGCTTTGTCCTTCATAATTTCTGTGAGGCCGCCAAGGAGACCATGGACGAAGTATCTGTGTTAGGAACAATGCAAGGAGAGATGGACTCTCAGCCTCCCACACAGAGCAACAACTACGTCACTGACTGCAATGAGGGGGAAGGAAAGAGAGTGAGAAGAGTTGTCATGAAGTACCTTGATCCTTAAAAACTAGGATAGTGGAAATGCAAAAACACTATATTGCATTGTGACATTTACTTGCAGATCTGCATTTGGGAAAAGATTTGCAAGCTTTTGAACAGCTACTATATTTACTTTGTATATAACAATTTGTATGACTACCAGTCCTGCCTCCATATTGCCTGTGTGCAGTTATTTTTGGCCTGAGTAACAAAAAATAAATAAATAAAAAAAGGTTGATAACCACAACTTGTTGATTCCACTTCCAAGTTCAAGATATTTACTTTGTATATAAGTATTTTCTATGACTACTAGTCCTGCATTCATATTACCTGTGTGCAGATATTGTTAGCTAGAGTAAAAAAAACAAATTAAAAAATGGTTGATAACAACAAATTGTAGATTCCACTTCCAAGTTCAAGACATCTGTGAGCGATCTTAAAGTTCCACTTGACTTGTATATTGACAAATATAGATATATTAAATGTTATGCTTAAATGCAATAAATGAAACAAATGCACACTCCAGTATGGCTTTTATTAAAGTGACACAGTTGTTAAAGCTGGGTCACAGAACCCAGGCTGTGCAAAATCAAAACAACTAAAATAACTTGGTTCTTTTCAACGAACCAAACAATTCACCTGAGTGATGATGTGCTACATTGTAACTGTGCAACAGATGAACTTATTCATCTTGAAAAAGTGATCGGGTGTAAGAAAATGAGGGTGTGTTATGTTATGTTTGTGGGGTCGTTGGTGTATATCTTCCTGAGTGGAGTGCTGGACTTGGTGTGTGACAGTGGGCTGTTGAATTGGATGGTGGATTTGGGTACAAGTGTGACTGTTGGTGTCCTTGGAAGTGTCCATAAGCAGTGTTGCTATTGTAGTGACGTGCAGGTGGAGGCTGGAGTAACAGCTCCCTCAGTAACGAAAATCCATCTTGTATGGTGTTGGCTATGTTTGTGTTAATTTGTTGTATGTTCTCCTGATTGCGCCTTGATGTCTGCTCCATCAGCTCAAGCATTCTTCTTTTAATCTGAATATCTTCCTCTGTGGTCTATGTAGGAGTCCTCCTCTTCAGCCTGTCTCCTCTGTGGCTATTCAGCTTGGCCTGAAAAGAAATAAGAACATTATATAGTGGGCAACAGTTTGGCATATGTTTGTTGATTTAAAAAGGAACATTACATGGTATTTCAAGTCAGTTACATCTATTAGGCGCACCGTACTATGCAGCTGGTATGTGGGGGTCTGAGCGCCTCCAACAGAAATAGTATGCATAGTTATTAATGATTGCTGTAGTTCACAAAGCAAAGTAAAGTACCAAATAGAGCTCTGTGAAAGAAAAAAAGATTCAGTTTTTTTTTCTTTTAGAGAGGTCTATTTAGTCTTTTACTTTGCTTTGTGAACTATAGCAATCAATAATAGCTATGCACTGCTTCTGATAAAGCGTTCAGCTTTTCTTTTTCTTTTACAGAGCTCTATTTAGTACTTTACTTTGCTTTGTGAACTATAGCAACCATTAAGAACTATGCACTGCTTCTGATAAAGCGTTCACAGTTTGTTTTTCCCAGTATAAGTATTATAGTCCATTTTTTAGGGCTGTGGGTGAATTTTACAATAAGGCATCTGGGGTTTTACACTGTAGCTGCTTCTTACTTATGACTTTTTATTGTTATTGGTTTTTACTTATTTTGCTATACGTTTGTCAAAGTTTGGTTATATCTGGGAATAACACTTAACATCTGACTCTCTGGGTTACTTTTGTATTAAATTTCTAGTAGGGCGCACCACACCTAAGGGCGCGCCGCACATTTTGAGGGAAAAAAAAAGACGTTTATATGCGCCTTGTAGTCGTGAAAATACGGTACTCTAATAAGTACATGTAGGGCGTTGATGAAACCTACCTGCAGCATATGTCTGCGCTGCTTGATTACTGGAGAAGGCAGCACACTT